GGATTTGGGGAGTTTACTCTTGTATATAGGGTAGCAAAATTTAGCTGAACTAGCTCTGGTATAGGTTAAGGGTTCCAGGGTCCCAGCGGCACATCCCCACCCAGAAATTCCTAGAGTACCCCTAGAGTACCGGGGAAATGTCTCTTATGATACCTCCGTCAATTTCACAAAATCGCACCCTTTTTCAAAATGCTCTTCCCCCACTTTACTGACGATAGCATCTCGGTGGATTTGTACGCTTTCATTCAAAGTAAACAGAAAACAGTCTTCAAATGAAGAAACAAACAACTCAATATCACAAAAAGAATTCTCTTCCTTGTCGGTGACATCAGCTGTCTTGCTTTTCTCGCTTTTTCTTTCCCTTTTTGTGTTTTTTGTGTTTTTCCATGCCGCAGATGTCGTAAACAGCACTCCGACGACTCGCTAATGACTGATAGTGATGTATTTCAATAACTCGCTTACCATTTGGAACATCGAGATGAACGCGATCGATAAAGAAAAAAAATCTCTCTAACAGATTGATGGAGCGTGCATGTAGGTCATGCAAGGAGGAGGACATGATACGCAAAGTGGCAAAGTCCTCAAAGGGAGTGATGCACTGAACACGTCAATCAAATGAAATGAACAACCAAAACAGCAGTAAAATGAGACGTATTTCAGTTTGCCTTTATTGGACCCTTATTAGCCATTATTGGCCATTATTGATAATTATTAAGTAATTACTACCGAATAGTGTACGCGCAAATGTTCTGCAGGACATTCACAATTCTGTCAATTCTCAAATTCGCTGTCGGACATTCTTGACATTGGTGTCGCTTTCGCTAATTCGTTGTAATAGTCTGTCGGTCGTCGCCAGTTCGTGGCTCTCATGTCGCCGGTTCAAGGCCATGTCGCTTGTCGGAATTTACGCCTAACAGGGCCTCATAAGAGAGGCCGTCTCAGGGCCGACTTCAAAATCAATTATCAGGTGAATTATGCGAAGGCGGACCAGTTACTCTATCAAATACATTGCGGACAGCATGGTTCTAATTCTTTGCATCAATGTTAAAATTGTAACCGTTGACAGTGAAAGGATCAACTGTTAAGTGTTAAAACAGATTAAACACAAAATACAAAAGAAGTCCACATAAAACTGATATCTTAAAGTTCAAACCGCGTCGCGTATGCATTATGCAAATTTTTAAGTCAGAAGATTTGGATACTTTATTTAAACACGGTAAATGGCTCAGCAAGCTGGTTTTCAGACATGCCGTGTGATAATTACAATTTATAAAAATTAAGACTAGTGATTAACTAACAATACAATATAACAGTAAGAAATGAGTATTAGAAATAAGATAAAAACATAATAAAAGTTATATCCTAAGCTATGGCGAGTTTAAAGCTAGTAAGATCCCCCATCTCACGTGTTTCATTTGACAGTTGGTTCCAAGCCATTGCACCCCGATAAGAAAATGAACGCTTGAGAAAATTTGTTTTAGGTAGTGGTAGTTGGAGATCATAGTTAGAACCCCTCAAATTATAGTCATGAATTTCAGAGGTTCTATGAAACCGCTCCCGAAGGTACGTCGGACGAACGTTTGGTCTTATCATATTGTCTCCATACAAATATTATCAAAAATAAGCTAAAAAAGGATCCTAAAAAGAAAGCCTAACAACGTTTAAAATAACCACCACTTCGTTTCAACATTCTGTAAGTACACTATCCCTTCATAACCAAACTCACTGCAACAACTAAAATCACTTTTATTTCATTATTAATGTGACCCTCCACAGGAATTTGATGCTAAAGGTGGAAGCACCCTCACGACACGCTTGCACGACACGCTTAGCGTGCCGTAGATCACGGATGTGTGCATATTAAATTGAAAAAACAAAGACGGTCACACTTGCCTTTGTTTTGGTAAAATGAACACGCTAGACCTTTTGTTTTTTTGCGCCATATGTCACGGTAAGTGTGCGAATTATAGCACACTTAGCGTGCAAATTTGGGTAAGACACGCTGAACACGCTTGATTACTAAAACTGCTAAGATGATAAAAATGGCTTGGGTTTTCAGCGGATTTAATCAGCATTGATAACTGGTCGAAGTGAATCAAATATACCAATTGAGACTGTTTTGGAATTTGATAGTAACCGTAGCCATTTGAAAATCACCACTTAATGGTCGTCTAGCCTGGAATTAACGCGAGATCAGCGTAAACCAATTCCTCCGGCTGTCGGCTGTAGACCGGAGTCGCAAAGAGGCGTGCTATTGCATGCGAGCCACTGAGGTTATGTCGCCTGAAAATTATAGTTATGCCACCGGAATATTTATTAGCAGTAATGCACAGAGAAATGAAGTTGAATAAATTAGTTTTATATATTTCTTTAAGCCATGCTGAGACGAACGAGGGTAAATCGGAGAAACAAAAACTGCCTAGAATTTTCTATAGCTTGAGGAAG